GGCTGTGGGAATGGCTGGATAATTATTTTAAAGAGCAGATACAAGCATGACTGGTTTCCTTCTGCATTGTTAGATTCTTTGAACAATAACTGCATGTCTGCAATTTCACTTGTCCATCAGCTTCATGCTAAGATTTTGCTGTGTGACACAAAAATTCAAATGATTAATAGTGGCGTGTAAGAGGACAAGGGGTAATTCGTACTATTTTAAACCAGGTGTGGCTCTAGGGAGTAATTGAATTTACTCCGTTGTTACTAGACTGAATTAGCTGCATGATTAGCTCTGCCACCTTGCTTGTTCAGAAGTCATTCTAAATGACTTTGATCTGGGAGGGATTGATGTATTCTACCAACAAGATGCACTTTGCAAGTTTAAAGAAAACTTGGGATGCTTCCTGTACCAAGATATTCAACTTAACAATGTAATGAAATTGACGGTATTATTCGTTGACAATTGCAATCAGTAAAAATTTCACTGATGAGATAGTGGACAGCATTGCGTGCTTGAGTGCCCTGAATGCAACCTTGCACCGTAATGATGTGAAGAGAATGTGCAAATGTGATTCTCGCTCGAATAACTTGGAAGTAATCGTAAATCGGCACTTCATTTTGGATTTGAACATAAGCCAATTATGAAACAATTTGTATTAGGAGATGTGTAACCTATGTCTTTAATTAAGATTATACTTGTGACACAGTATTCACTTAGTATATTCTTGTAAAAACTTTTAAAACTCAACTTTAAAATATAATACATAGGTCCTTTGTTAGTCTGGAGCAGTGTTTTTTTAGAGCAGTAAGACTGTGCTCTTTTCTGGTTCTGTAGATAGTAAAGGCAAAGATGGCCATCAATAGAGTGTTGTGCTCTTCCAGTCGGATGTGGGAGATTAGGGAGAGTTTCCATGTTGCTGATGATTATGTCTGTGTTTGGTTGCGAATCCTATCAGATCCCATGGATTAGTTGGAGCAGCAGTTAGAGGCAACGAGGAATTTACAGAAGCTAGTGGGTGCGATGGATGGCTGCTATAGGAAGGGAGAAGAACCACAGATACAGTCAGGTAGATGGGTTACCGCCAGGAAAGGTAACAGAGGGAGGCAGGTTGCACAGCAGTCTCCTGTAGCTATCCCTATCTCAAACAAGTATGCTGTTTTGGAAAATGTAGTGGGTAATGGATGATCAGTGGAATGTAGCACAGACAGCCAGGTTTCCGGTACCGCGATTGGCTCAAATGTGCTGAGGGGTACGTCAGGTTTCAAGCGATCAATTGTGATAAGGGACTCTTTGATCAAAGGCACAGATAGACGTTTCTGCTCCCGACAGTGAGAAATCAGAATGGTCTGTTGCCTCCCTGGTGCCGGGCTCAAGAATATCTCAGAGAAGGTGGAGAATATTCTAAAACGGGAGAGGGACCAGCAGGAGCTTGTTGTACACATTGGAACTGACAATGTAGAAAGAGAAAAGGATGAGATTCTGAAAAGAGAATATAGGAAGTTAGGCAGGAATTTAAAAGGGAGGTCCTCCAAGGTAGTAATATCTGGATTATTCCCGGTGCCATGAGCTCGTGAGGGTAGGAATAGGAGGATGGAGCAGATGAATGTGTGGCTGAGGAGCTGGTGCAGAGGAAAATGATTCGCATTTTTGGATCATTGGAATCTCTTCTGGGGTAGAAGTGACCTGTATAAGAAGGATGGATTGCACCTGAATTGGAAGGGGACCAATATGCTGATGGGGGAGATCTCCTCGAGCGGCTTGGGAGGATTTAAACTATTAAGAGGGTGGGGCCATGGTGTGGTGGTGGTGGTTGGGACACAGGAAGATAGTGAGGAAAGAGATCAGTCTGAGACTGTTATAGTTGGGTAAAGGAGAAAGTCAAACAGTCAGGAACAAAGCAGAGAATGATAAATTAAACTGCATTTATTTTGATGCAAGAGGCCTAACGGGGTAAGGCAGATGACCTCCAGACATATTTGGGAGCATGGGAGTGGGATATCATAGCAATTAGAGGTGTGGCTAAGGTTTGGACAGGACTGGCAGCCTAATGTATAGATGCTATAGGAAAGATAGGCTGTCTGTGTCTGTGTCTGTGTCTGTGTCTGTGTCTGTGTCTGTGTCT